CGAGTGGTTAAAACAACAGGTGATTTGGGGGGAAACTGGTTTTGAGCTTCTTGAACCAACACGGCAATGCATCCAGACAGAACCAAGACGGGCGCATTGGTAAGGAACGCGAATAGTGTGAAGAAATGAGGAATGAAGAAGGGAGAGTTTCACTAGCAGCAGTTGGGATACATATAGCAAACCCTAACAGGGTTGTACTCACTATAGAGCACCCCACTACAGGCTAGATAATTATAACATTCTGACACACCCCCATAGCCAAAGTGGGGTGTAATCAGCACAATGAGCAAGCAGGTATGGAGCAGGAGTTCACAATAGAGAGCAAAGCTAGAGTTAATTACAGCGGGCAAGTGAGGAGGAGGAGGAACTGTGGAGGGAGAGAAGATGGGAGGCAACGACTGAAGCTGCAGAGGCACGGGCACAGGAGCAGCTGACTCAGTGGCTACCGAAGCAAGGGCGACGGACTACTGGAGTAACTGGCTCCGCGGCTATAGACGAGCGGCAGGAGCAACGGAACCACTGGCGACTGGTGCAACAGGCTCACTGGCACCGAAGCAAGGGCGACGGACTACAGGCGCTGCAAGCGACACGACAGCTACCTCCACACAACCTCCTCCAACTGCCCCACACCCTCGACACACACCCCCTGCTCAAACCCTAGTTCTACTCCCAAAGCACCCCCCTTTCCCACACACCCTGCTGCACCCTAGGTTCACTCACACCCCACCACCTAGCACCACTCCGTCGACTCCCACACACCCACCCCCCTCAGCGACAGCTGCAGCAGTGGGAGACAGAGGAGGAGGAGGAGCAGGGGAGACCACACACCCGCCACCCCCTACTCGCCACCCCCAGACCCTAACACAGGGCAGGGCGGGACGGCAGGTAGGGAGGTTACGGGGGGGGGGGCGACGCGCGGCCTTCCAGGGCGCCAAAACAGGCGGCAGAAGGGGCGGCACTCGCCCCCTTCCCCCAGGCACGCGGCCCCCTCAGGTCGCCTCGACAGGCGACGGGAAAAGGGGGGGGGGGGGGGGGGGGGCGGTGCACGTGCCCCCGGTGCGCCGCGCCAGGCGACGAAGCATGGCCGGGGCGGGGCCTGGACAGGGTCGAGGAAGGGCCGAAAGGGGCGGCGACGGGGCCGCAAGAGGCGGCGACGGGCCCGCTGGGGGCTGCGACGGGGCCGCTTTGGAGCCGCGAGGGGCGTGGAAGGGCGGCGAGGGGCCGCGAAGGGCGGCGACGTGGCCGTGAAGGGCAGCGACGGGGCCGCGAAGGGGCCGCGAGGGGCCTAGAAGGGCGGCGACGGGGCCGCGAAGAGTAGCGCGAGTGGCACGCCACGGGGCGTGCAAAGTACACAGAGTAGCAGCGGAAGCTGTTGGGTGGGCCCACAGGCCAGGACCGTAGATGCTCTGATAGCATGTGAAGAAATGAGGAATGAAGAAGGGAGAGTTTCACTAGCAGCAGTTGGGATACATATAGCAAACCCTAATAGGGTGGTACTCGCTATAGAGCACCCCACTACAGGCTAGATAATTATAACATTCTGACAAATAGCACCTCCACGCATCGTCAGAATGAATGTGGGCTGTGGGGTTATACCTAGTTCAGGCAACATTACTGTAGTTAATGCCAATATTCGGTTTTGTAGCGTGCTGGCAAGGAAACATACATAACTGACCAATCGGACAAGTGGTTGCTGCCAACGCATGTACTGCACGGAAGGAAACATCGGTACTTGCGTGTTTAACGGAAATCACGATCTGACAAATTTCGGGGGGAGGGTGGGGGGGGGGTGGGGGGGGTGGGGGGGGGACTGTATGCTCGTCAGTGTAATCTTCGCTATGGGAAAAAATACCCCAAGGCATCAGTGTGGCCTATGTCGCTACACTTATAGAATAGTGTAATAGTCATCCACAAAACAATTACCCAAACACATCAGAGCAGCACAAAAATTTCACCCCTATAATCAGTATAGAAGGGTAAATTACACTGATAACCTGCGCCCTGGCTGTGGGTGTCGACTCTGGGGGTGGTAGTCAGGGCCTCAGATTCATTTTTAGGGACCTTGAGCCCTCAGGGCAGGGCTGAAAAAAGATGGTCCTCCTTAGGGCAGAAACGGACATACGGTGATTTCTTGGGGCATTTTTTTTTGTTATCACTGATTTTGACTTCATAATTTTCCCCAGTGCAAGTTCACTATGGTAAAACTTGTACCTTCTAAATCCTACCTAGCTAGATGAACAGAACAGTACTCACAAGTCATGACATGAATGGAATCTGAACTCTAGGGCAAACAAATAGTTCTCGCCATCAAAACCGGTATCCCCGTATTCTCGTGGACATAACAGAGGGTATAGCAAAAGTACAGGGAAAAACTGGGGGGGGGTCTCCTCATAGGATCAAGCTACATAATACCCGGATGGATATATATGGCATATTTTAGTGTACGAGTTTTTTTCAATTAGACAACTTGGGTGTTTCCATGGTCGTTATAACATCACAGGCTGAGGCGCGAATGTGAGTTTCGGCGCCAACTTCATCACCCCCTCGAAAATGCCATGTGGCACATCTCTCGCCACTTGTAGTGGAAGATTCACCAGCGCGTGGCGACAGCGGAATAGTGGAAGATTCTCTGCAGATTTTAAGTGAAAGTACACGAAATTTTATCGAGGGAGATATTCTCGCGATATCCTCCCGTACTTGCACCTACTCGTTAAGGAATCTGTTAGAAAAGGGGGGTGTTATAAAAAAATCACCCAAAAGTTGGGGTGTAGTACAAACAAGGTCACCTATATCACCCACCCCGCACAAGCTACCCGGGGGTGCACAATTTTGGCGGGTGTTTTGTCCGGGAGAATATGGTACAGTAGTGCTGTTGCTGCTCTCCTTGTCTTAGACTTCTACCATACAATCACGCGGGCACTTGACTGAAATTTTGCTATGATTTGCCAGTTTTGGCCATTTACCTGCCGATTGCGTAAAAACGGTCAAGTGTGCGGCGTGTCAGAGAGGTGCCTGGCAGCTCGACTGCTGCACCTCTGTAAGTTGCCCTAAGTGGGCATTTTGTCATTAATGTGAGTGGTGGAGGGCGATGCGCATGATATTGGCGCGAAATCATGGAAATCATATATTTCACCTATAGGCCCCTCTATGTACACATTGTGACTGTGTCAGGGCTTTGACGCCTCAGGGCAGAGGGGCGTAAAACACTCTGAAATCTCAGGGTGTTCTAAATCAAATATCCTTGAATCACTGGGCTTTCACAACAAACATCCTAAAAGGGTACGTAGCTGAACCCTGAAATCAAGGTAATCAGTATATTTTACCCTGATATCATAGGCCCTGGTGGTATTTATGGGGGTGCTGATCTGGAAATGCTGATTCTGGGGGTGCTGGTTCAGGGGGTGCTGACGCTAGGAGTACTGGTTCTAAGGGTGATACTACATGGTACTGGTACTTGGGGTGTAGTGGGTGTGGAACGTCCGGCGCAACAGCAGTTGTTGCCACCTGTGTCTGCACTTCGCCTTCTTGAAATTTCTTACTCCTCGACTAATTGACCACCTACTCTTCCCCCACTGTCTCTTCCAATCTATGGATTCACGTTTCCTCCCCCAATTTTGTCTCCGGATGGTCTTCCTTCTCGTTCACAGCTGTTTCCTCCTCTGTCTCCTTACCCAACTCCTGACTCTCACCACTGGGTCCGTCTTCCCTCTCGTGTTCACCCTGTGTCTCTCCTTCCAGTATCCACTCTATGCTCCTCTGTTCTCATCCCCCTCGTGTTCCACCACCATTTGTTCTCCTGTCACCTCCTCCGTCGTCCCTTATTGTCTCATCTCTGACTCCTCCCTGCCGCTTGCCCTGCGGTCCCCGAAATCCATTTTTCCCTCATTACCGACCCCACTATCCCTACTCAGCACGTCTCAGCTCTTGTCACTGCTGTTGCTGACTCTGCCTAAACCCGCCACCTTGATTACGCCTCTCAGTTGGCCTTTGCTCCTCCCCGTCCTCTGTCCGTTGGGGGTGCTTCTTCCTTTAGCAGTAACGTTGTAAAGGACACGCAGTACGAGCTAGCTTTCCTTGTTGCCGCTGCTCTTCATCTCTTCGCTATGCTAATAGCCCCTAAAGGTGACCCAGACGCGAACCATAGCCTCTCACTGGATATCAGCCATCGAAAAGTGATGACATCTTGGAGGTCCACATGCACTGATGGCGATGTAGTTCCCCAACCTGAGGTGATCATGGTCGATGGCATGTGGATCATCAAGGTGTAGCGGTTGCCTAGAGAGCCGCCTGTTTTCAAGGCACACCACGTGGCTACAAGGTTTAGTCAAAGAGAGAGAGAGAGATAGAGAGAGAGAGAGAGAGAGAGAGAGAGAGAGAGAGAGAGAGAGAGAGAGAGAGTAGACTTATTTCAATCATTTTCCTCCACCCCAAAGATGACCATTCGTTCGGTACTGCTGCATATTGCGGCATAGCGAAATTTCGAACTTCACTCACTTGACTTCTCCACTGCCTTTCTCTCACCAGCATTAGTTTGGCATACTCCCAACCTTATGGCTCATTTGAGAGAGCGAGAGAGAGAGAGAGAGAGAGAGAGAGAGAGAGAGAGAGAGAGAGAGAGAGAGACCATTAGAGAGAGAGAGAGAGAGAGAGAGAGAGAGAGAGAGAGAGAGAGAGATGGCTATGGGCCAGTCCTTAGCCGCTTTTCGCCTCCCTAGCATAGTGCATAGTCCTTAGCCGCTTCCACCACTGTTTCCTTAGTATAAAGTCTCTAGTCTTTGGCCCATGAGGCTCATTCTTCACTGGTGAGTCTAGTTCACTCTCCAAAACCGGCGGCTCGCGCCGGCCGCCTTCGGCGGCCGCCGCTCGCCGGCGCGGCCTGCAGCCGCGCGTGAGGTGTGGCAAGGGGTCTCCAGTGACAAGTTTCATAAGAGCATTTGATACAACATGCAGTGGTAGAGCCCTGCAGCAAAAGCAACACCCCCGGACGTGCCTACACCGCCATGGGGAAGCCCAAGGCTAAGCCGGCTACCAAGGGGGATGGCAAAGGGGACAAACCGGCTACTCGGAGAGTATCCAGCATAGCCTCCCGTCCATCCAGCGTAGGACGGATGCGGCTGCTGATACAAGACCAAGAGGGGCCCCCTGAGCAGACTCAGCAAGCCGCAACATTGCCCCAGGGCCGGGCCCGAGCGCAGCACCAGGGGCGCCCTAGACAAGCCCGATCAGGGGGGGTAATGTAGCATCTCCCTTGCTGCGGACACCGCCGCAGACTGCTCCGATGGCATCATCCCCCCAACCTCCACACCCTGCCGCGCCAGACACACGTGGAGTTGGTCCAGCACGTAGGACAGCAGCGTCAAACACGTTCCCACGTGCATTACGCGCTGCTCGACTTGGAAAGGAGTCGCAGCCACACGAGCAGCAACGTGAGGAGCTGGTGGGACGGGTGGGAATAACAGCACCTGGGGAGGCGGCGGGGGAACAGGAGTCGGTGGAGGGCGAGGCGGCTGCGGCCGTGGCGGCAGGGGGAAGTGGCGCAATGGGGACTGAGTCAGAGGCGGCTGTGACGGTTGAGGCTGCGGCTGCTGCGGGGCTGGAGGGGGTTGCTGCTGAGGCGACTGAGATGGTGGCTGCTGCTGAGCTTGGCGGGCCTGACGCTGCCTCTGGCAGCGGCTCAGCCTCACCCTCTGCCATCCCCCAGGCGTGGCAACCAGAGGAGCCGGGACCACCAGTGGCTCAGGAACGGACCGAGGCGGTGGAGCTGGCGGCCTCACCGGAGCCTGTAACGGCGTCTGTGCTGGCTGCGGCGGTGACAGCGGCGACAGGGGAACAGGGCGGAGCCCGGACCGAGGAGGGTGCGCCGGTCGCCGCTGTGAACGCCGAAACTTCTGCTGCTGCCGAGGGCGCAAGCACGCAGGGACACGACCTGGGGGGGAGCGGTAGACAGGGTCGCGGAGCTGGCGGGACTGCCGGCGCCGCCCGCGGGAAGACGAAGCTTCGAGCCTAGCCAGCACCGAAGCGGCCCGGAGCAGGGCTGGGACTTGGTCCCCCGGGACCCCTCCTGGGCTGCCTTCTGCAAGGGCAGTTGCCACAAGGGCAAGAGCGTCATTTGCCATCTGTGGGGACAAGCGACGGGAGAAGGGAAGCAGGAGACAGGATCAGGCTAGCACCCACATCGATCATCACGACAGGGAACGCAGTGGCAGGACCATCAATGCAACAACCACCGCGTCGGGATTCGCGGAACTTGACGGGGGGAGAGGAGAGAACAACCACGGCTGCCGCCACAGCTCAACAGACCCCACGGCGTGAAACCCGCAGTGCTACGAGGGGGCAAGGCATCACCTGGGGCCAGCCAAGGGCTGGCCAGGCAACGCCGATGTTGGCGCCGTGGATCCCGGCGGGAAGACCGCAACAGGCAGGCCGAGGCGAGCAGAACGCCGGCCCTAGGGGGGGAGAAACGGCTCGCGGAGCAAGGGGAGGAGTGCGAGGGGCCAGAGGGGGACGGGGCGGAAGAGGCCCAATTGTCAGCGGAAGGGTCGCGCTTGTGAGAACGGGAACGTGGCGGGAACGCCACGAGCGACCGGAGCAAGCGGAGCGTGCAACGAATCACGACAAAGAAGATGATGCAAACACCGATGATGGGGGCGATTATGTAGCTGAATCAGCGGAGCCATCAGAGGAAATCTCGCTGGAGGACGAGGAGGAAGTACACATGTCGAGAAGAGCTGGGGAGCGAAGGAGAACCCAGAACAATGGGGTAAACCCCCAGGGCGATAACCCTCAGGGTACGAGAATTGGGAATGAGGAAGCGCCAGGAGTAAGGGGAAACCCTCAGGTGGTGGGAGAAAATGGGGACGCACCCAACGAGGGACAGAGTGACTCTGGGGTCAGATCACCGTCTGACCTGGCGGATGATTCTGCCATCAGGGAGCTGGCAGCCACGTGGGATAAATACCCACTCCAAAAAGGGGATCAGCCCTTCATGGTCCGCAGAATGCCGCCCAAGATCCTGGAAAGCTACACGCTCTGTCTCCTGGCGCCACTCATTCGACTCTCGAAGAATCCTGACTGCCCAGGTGCATGGGCGATCCTGCAGTATCTGCCAAGGCTGACGCTACGCCCGGCCTCTGAACCTGTTGAAGGCAGTCGGTGGACAGCAATAGAGCTGCGCCTGCACCAGTTCCAACTCGGCAGCTGGCAGGCCCTCTACACCGACGCATGTGTTATCCCCGACAATGAGAGCACGACACGACACCAACCGGATGACGCGGGTTTATGCGCAAGGGCGGAAGGGTTGATAAGGAAAGGAAACATTTCCAAGGCGGTAGCAGCGTTACGAACTACACCGCTCGCAGAAGCAATGGCAGCAACTTTGACTGCCCTCCAAGCGAAACACCCCGCAGCCGAAACTTCGCTACCGGGTCTGGTTACAGGGCTCAACCGCTCGACCCTCAGCGTGTCAGCGGACGAACTTCGCGAAATCCTGAAGAAATGCCCGAACGGGGTTGGAGCAGGCCCATCTGGCACCTGCTTCGAACACCTCAAGGATCCGGCACTGGCAAACGGGGAGGTGCTTATTCTACTCGCTAAGGTAGTGACGTACCTGCTGAGCACGTTCCAAACACAAGCGACCCGCGATTTGCTGCTGCCTTCACGGTTGATCGCCCTAGAAAAGCCAGGAGGAGGAGTCCGGCCTATTGCGATAGGGGAGGCTATTCTTCGAGTCGTAGCTAAGGCGGCATTGCGTGGTTTAACCGAGAACAGTAAGGAGTTTTTCCTACCAGTCCAGTTTGGGGTAGCGATACCGGGAGGCGCATAGTGTATCGTCCACTCCGTCATATCGCTACTAAGGGACGATGACACACGAGTAGCGCTGCAGGTGGACATAGAAAACGCCTTCAACAGTGTCGAACGGGCGGCTTTCTTCAACGCTCTCTCCCAGTCCAGTTTGCTGCAGCTCATGCCCCTGGCCCGAACTCTCTACGGGGCACCGCCGTCACTCTTGGTCGACGAACGTTTAGGAGTGAACCATATCCTCTCGTCACGCGGGGTGCGTCAAGGGGACCCGCTCGGTCCACTACTCTTCGCGGCAGCAATTCAACCATGCCTGCTAAGCACGGCGACCTTCTTACCGGAAGTCGCGATAGTGGCCTACGCCGACGACATAACGATAGTGGGGCCAAAGGAGGCCTGCTATGAGGCCTTTGGGGCCATTACCAGGGAGCTGGCAACGCTCGACCTCCGTTGCAACATCGCGAAATCGTCGGCATGGGGACAATCGCTAGCGGATGACGGCGGCATGCCACCTCCCATCGGCCTGCAGCAGATCACAGATGGGATCCGGGTTCTAGGCAGCCTAGTCGGCTTGCCTGCCTTCTGCACCACCCAAGCACAAACACGGCTTGATGAGGCGTCGGCCCCGTTACCTCTGGTGGCGCAGCTCCACTCGCAGAGCGCAATGCTCATCCTCACGAGAAGCATATCCCGCCGAATCTCCTACTTTCTGCGGACGAAACCGGCGGAAGTCCTGGGGAGAGAGGAGTGGAGGGGCTGGAGTGAGACCCTGATGGCAACGGCACTAGCAGCAGCGAAGCTTCGAGTACCTTCAGACGAGCTGGAGAGGAGTCTGTTGTGGCGCCAGGGGAGTCTGCCGGTCAGGTTGGGAGGCTTGGGGATTATTGACCCAGTCTCCGAGGCACCTGCGGCCTACATCGCCTCGGTCACGGCGGCGCAGCAGTTGCTGCGCCAGATGAACCTGCCTGAGGCCTATCTCCTGAGCAGGGCGGTCGAGCTGCTGTGCCACGATTGGACCCCTGTCCCACCCGGCATCAACCCCCTGACAACTCTGGAAGCTGGGCTACCCATAGCTGCACGGGCGGCACTACACACTTACAGGGAGCAGCCGGTGGGACAGGGGAACCTTCAACTGACCCTGTCTCGCCACATCAATGAGACGAGGGCGGCGGAGCTGCTGGCTGACACAATAGAAGACCGCCCAGGGAAGGACCGTGGGCACGCAGTACGGCTCATCAGTTTGCAAGGGGTGGGCGCGGGGGACTGGCTCCATGCCGTCCCAACGAGATCCGACCTTACTTTCGCCCCTGGTCAGTTCTCGTTGGCACTTGGCTTTCGCCTCGGCATGGCTCTTCCAGTCACAGTCACCTGCCCGTGCAAGCGCGCCAACACTGCAATCACGGACACGAGCCTGGCAAACCACCTCTTGCGGTGTGGGTACGGGGGAGATGTCGTCCGCACACACAATGCTCTAGTGTTTACTCTGCTCCGGATGGCGAAGGAGGCCGACTTCACGGTTTTCCACGAAACCACTGCCTTTTCCCCACCGGTGCTGAGGAAGAGAGGAGACCTTGCTATTCGGGGCAAGGAGTCGAATGAGACTTGGGTCACAGACGTGACAGTGTCCGACCCAGTGCTGCAGTGCCGTGACAAGCGCGCCCGGAAGCCACCTGGATGGGCGGCAAGAGAAGCTTCAGAGAGGAAACACAGGATCTATGAGGGGCGGCCTGACTACGTGGGTTTCTTTGGGTTGGCAGTGGAAACATACGGTGCCCTAGCTACGGATACACAGCAGTTCATCCGCTTGTTAGCAACCTCGACGGCGAAGAGAAGGTTCTGCCAGGGGAGGCTCACCACCACCACTGCTCGGCTCATCGCTCACTACAGGCAGCGCTTCAGCGTCATGCTCCAGCGCTCACAGGCCTCGTTATTCCTGAACAAGTCGAACATAGGGGACGTGGCAGCCTTCTCACAGGCGGCCAGGGACCCCTGGGAACCTAGCCTAGGGGATCTCTGGCAAGTCCTGGAGGATGAGATGGACGGGGTGATGGGTCAGTGAGCGGGATAGCAATTGCATGGGTGTCTAGCTGAGTGTTAGCCAAATGCAATTCCGGCTCCTGCCTTGTTTGCTTGCCCTGCCCTGCCTTGCTTGCCTTGCTCGGGTTGGCCTTGCCTTGTGTGCCTGTTCTGTGTGTTTTGCATCCCCTCCCTTGCCCTCAAGGTCCTGACCTACTGGCACAGAGGACTTGCTCGCCTGGCCACCCGTGGTGCCTACCTCAGCCCTGCCAAGCATTACCGGCTGCTCTTAGTACTAGGGATGTTCTGCACCTGTTCTTGCCATGCCTGTACCCCTATGAACCTATCAATGAAGGACTGCTTGAGAGAGAGAGAGAAAGAGAGAGAGAGAGAGAGAGAGAGAGAGAGAGAGAGAGAGAGAGAGAGAGAGAGAGAGAGAGAGAGAGAGAGAGAGAGAGAGAGAGAGAGAGAGAGAGAGAGAGAGAGAGACTGGCTCCATGCCGTGCCAACAAGGAGTGACCTTACATTCGCCCCTAGTCAATTCTCGTTGGCGCTTGGCTTCTGCCTTGGTATCTCCCTTCCTGTGACGGTGAAGTGCCCATGCAAGCGTGGCAACTCGGACATCAAAGACACGAGCTTACCAAACCACCTGGTGCGCTGCGGGGAAGGTGGCGATGTAGTCCGTACCCACAACGCCCTGGTGTATACCCTACTGAGAATAGCGAAGGAAGCTGACTTCACAGTCTTTCATGAGACCACCGCCTTCTCCCCTCCAGTGATCTGGAAGAGAGGTGATCTGGCGATCAGAGATAAAGAGTCTAACGAGACATGGGTGACAGATGTAACAGTGACGGACCCGGTCCTACAGTGCCATGACAACAGGGCCCGGAAACCACCTGGATGGGCGGCGAGGGAGGCCTCAGAGAGGAAACACAGGATATATGAGGGACGGCCAGATTACGTGGGGTTCTTTGGCCTGGCAGTCGAAACCTACGGTGCCTTGACCACAGACACGCAGCAGTTCATCCGCCTACTGGCCACCTCGGCGGCCAAGAGGAAGTTCCGCCAGGGGAAGCTGACCACCACCACCGCTCGGCTGACTGCCCACTACACGCAGCGCTTCAGTGTGATGCTGCAGCGCTCCCAGGCAACTTCGTTCTTTAACAAGTCAAACCTGGGGGATGAGGCAGCCTT